TAGAGTAGAGCCTTCTCCACTACGCCAAACCAGACGGTTATTCCGTGCCTTGAAAAAAATAACAACATCAGGTAATTATTAAGTTGACAAAAACTTTTGTTATAAGATCGCAATGCTGATTTACAGAAGCTTTCCGCCGGCGAACTCAGACCAGCTGCGGACCTCAGAAGGAATACCCTCGGCACGGGGCAGCTTCTCGCTCATGGCCTGGGCAAAGAGGAGAGCAGTCTGCAAAGGAACATAATTAGCATCAATGAAAAGCAGGCAGAGACGTTGTGTGTTTGACATACCTTGGTCTCCATGAACAGAGGAACGCCGAAGTCAACGGCGTTACGTCTCATGACGTAGTCCTCATCAAGCAGGGTCTTGCCACGGGTCTTAGCAAGGTTAAAGGTACCACGGATGTTATACTTCTCGAAGACCTCGCGCAGTGCACGCTTGTCTTTCTTAGGGAACTCGATCACCTGCACGGAAACACTTTCCTTGGCAGTGGATTCGATGTGATCCTTAACAGAGGGGCTAGCGGCAAAGAACTTGTAGCCCAATGGCTGAAGATATTCAACAATCTTGGCCAAAGCGGGGTTCTTGATGTCACCACCAAGAAGGATACCCTCACCGGGCTCGGGGACACGGAAGTTCATGGTGGACTGGAGGGATGCCCAGTAGGCGTCAACCAAGTCCTTACCGAAACAAGCAATCTCACCAGTACTGGACATCTCGACGCCAAGGAAGGGGTCAGCACCAGCAAGACGAGTCCAGCTGAACTGAGGGACCTTGGTAGCGACGTAGTCACGCTTCTCGGCCATGGGGTCTACAGGCTCGGGAACGTCACGGCCAACAAGGGCCTTGGTGGCAGTATCGATGAAGTTGGTGCCCAGAACCTTGCTGACGAAGGGGAAGGAACGGGAAGCACGCAGGTTGCACTCAATGACCTTCAGCTCAGGCTGGGCACCTTCCTGGTCGGCCTTGATAATCTGCATGTTGAAAGGACCAGTGATGTTCCAGGCCTTAGCAACCTTCTCGGCTATCTCCTTGACGCGGCCCATGACCGACTCATCGAGATAAGCTGGGGGAAGAACAAGAGTGGCATCACCAGAGTGAACACCAGCTGGCTCAACGTGCTCACTGACGGCATGCAACAGGAGCTTACCATTAGAAGCAACAGCATCGACATCAATTTCCTGGGCGCCTTCAATGAACTTGGTGATAACGACAGGGTGGTCAGGGGAAACAGCGCTAGCATTAAGAAGCTTCTCCTTGAGCTCATCCTGGCTATAGATGACGTTCATGGCAGCACCAGACAGGACATAACTGGGGCGGACCAGGACAGGATAGCCAACAGACTCGGCAAAACGCTCTGCATCAGCAACCGAGGTGAGTTCCTTCCAGGCAGGCTGGTCGACACCAATGCTATCCAGGATCGAAGAGAACTTGTGACGATCCTCAGCCTTGTCAATATCAACAGGGTCAGTACCAAGAACGTGGGCGCCACCGGTCTCCTGCAGGCGAAGGGCAATGTTCTGTGGCAGTTGGCCACCGACAGACACAACGACACCACTGGCAGTCTCAAGTTCGTAGATATCCATGACACGCTCGTAGCTGAGTTCTTCGAAGTAGAGCTTGTCAGCAGTGTCGAAATCGGTAGAGTAGGTCTCAGGGTTGTAGTTGATCATAACGGTCTTCTTGCCCATGTTCTTGAGAGAAAGGGTGGCGTTAACTGCACACCAGTCGAACTCGACAGAACTTCCAATACGGTAGACACCGCTTCCCAAGATGATAATACCATGGTCATCGAAAGTGACATCATGGGAAGTAGCGTTATAGGTAGTGTATAGGTAGTTAGTGTCTGCGGGGAACTCAGCAGCAAGAGTATCGATCTTCTTAACCCATGGGGTGATACCGAAGCTCTTTCTGCGAGCACGGACATCGTCCTCGGACGCTCCGACAAGGAGGGAGATCTGCTTGTCAGAGAAACCAAGCTTCTTCGCCTTGAGCATGGTCTCCTTCTGGATGCCGAAGAGGCTGCCAATTTCCTTCATCTCATTCTGGCAGTCAACGAGGTTCTGAAGCTTGTAGAGGAACCACTTGTCAATCTTGGTCAGTTCATGAACCTTATCCACCGAGTAGTTCTCGTGGAGCATAGCCTGGCCGACAGCCAACCAACGGCGATCGGTAGGGTTCTTCAAGACATCGTCCAAATTCTCGAACTTGTCACCCTGGAAACCAAGGAACTGAGGGTCAACCTGACGGATAGCCTTCTGGAAAGATTCTTCGAAAGTACGACCAATGGCCATGACCTCACCAACCGACTTCATAGCGCTTCCAATATCCCGGTTGACATGCTGGAACTTGCTCAAGTCCCACCGGGGGATCTTGGTAACAATGTAGTCCAAACTAGGCTCGAAGTTCGCGGTAGTGGTCTTCGTCACAGCGTTGGGAAGCTCGGGCAGAGTATGGCCCAGACCGATCTTCGCAGCGGTGTAGGCAAGAGGGTAACCGGTAGCCTTAGATGCCAAGGCGGAAGAACGCGAGAGACGAGCGTTGACCTCGATCACACGGTAGTCCAAGCCATCAGGTTGCAAGGCATACTGCACGTTACATTCACCAACAACACCCAAGTGGCGGACGATCTTAATGGCAGCCGTACGAAGCATGTGATACTCCTCGTCAGACAAAGTCTGACTGGGAGCAACGACAATACTGTCACCAGTATGGATACCCAGGGGGTCGAAGTTCTCCATGTTGCAAACAGTGATACAGTTGTTGTCAGCATCACGCACAACTTCATATTCAACCTCCTTCCAGCCTCGGAGGGACTTCTCGACCAAAATCTGAGGAGCAAGGGTCAAAGAGCGGGATGCCAGGTTCCTCAACTCCTCGGGGTTGTTGGCAAATCCAGAACCCAAACCACCAAGGGCATATGCGGAACGAACGATGATGGGGTAGCCAACTTCCTCGGCAGCCTTCAAAGCCTCATCAACAGTGTTGACAGCGATGGACTCGGCAATGGGAATGTTGATCTCGTTCAGTGCCTTGGCGAAAAGATCACGGTCCTCACTAGTCTCCAGGGTCTTGATGCTCGTTCCCAGAACCCTCACACCATAGCGTTCGAAGATACCCATGCGGTTCATCTGCACACCCAGGTTCAGAGCGGTCTGTCCGCCGAAGGAAAGGAAGATAGCGTCCGGTCTTTCCCTCTCAATGACGTATGTGACATATTCAGGAGTAACTGGAAGGTAGTAAACTTCATCTGCGAGCTTGTGATCGGTTTGGATCGTTGCGATGTTAGGATTGATCAAAACGGACTCCACTCCAGCTTCCTTAAGAGCCTTCAGAGCCTGGGAGCCTATAATGTTCGAAAACCAACGTTAGTTGCCGGTATTATGGTATAACATTCCAACCGTGCCGACTGGGTCTCGGTCGTCGCTGCGCTCATTTCCAACCATTTGATACAATTCCCCCGTGCCATGGTTTAATAGGTACTCGCACGAATGCAGAGAACATTCAATTGGTGCAATGAATAGACAACAGTCGAGGCCGTTTCGGATAATATATATGTACTAGACTCTATGACTTACCGGAATAATCAAACTCTCCAGCCTGTCCGATACTCAGACCACCGCTACCGATCACAAGGACCTTCTTCACATCGACCAGATTGCGACCTGGCTTTACGATGCCGCTGGCAAGGTAGCTTTCAGCGGAGGGAGCATTTGTCGACTCCGAGGCCAGGCGGGTGATAGCACTCGAGAAGGAGCGAAGTTGCTGTGGTCTCCATGGCGAAGGAGTCTTCTGCTGCAACCGGAGACTTGATGCCGCCGAGTGGGCAGTAGTCTGGGAGGAAAATGGGCGCAGAGCAAGTGTGGATCGGCGAGATTCAGCCAGACAGCGCTGACGCAGGAGGGAGGCCGTGGCCTGCCCGCAACGAGTAGAGAGAACCATTGCGCACGGCGCTAGTATGGGAAGGGAAAGGGGAATCTAAGAGTCAATTCCCGGAACTATCCAAGACGACGTATGGACTCTACTGCCGTTGATCTGTATGAGTCTGCCTTTGTGGCACCCTGTTGTCCCACTTTATGCCACACACCCAGTCAACAGGGGAGGACTAAAGACAGAACGGGATGAATGGCCAGGGAGTTGGGGAAGAAAATAGAGTAGTCAGAGGGGAAGAAGTTAAAAGAAAAGACGGAAGGCGGAAAAGAAAGGTTAAAAAGGTCTTGGTTGGGCGATGAGTCAATGCAGTCCAGTGAGCACTTCTGGAGACACCAAGAAACCAGGATAGACGACATGGAACCCCCCGAAAACGCGAAAATGCCCCAACCTCCAGGCCGATAAGAGCTCCGGTGTGCGGAGCCAGCAGCTTTTTTTGTCTTTTTTCTCTGTCTCTTTTCCCCATCGGGATGCGGAAGAGCCACCGCCTGATACTGCCACCAATCAGCGGTCCATCCAAGGGCTGCGGTAAGTGCAGGAGATCATAAAGACCAGAGCTGCAAAGGACACTAGACACACTAGTTCCTGACGGCGCTAACTCCTTTCCGCCTAGTTGTATGAGTCAATGGCCTACGATGGAGAACCGGGTATGGGGACGCTGGATCTTGAATAATGATAACTCATAATGCCGTCTGAGATATTGAAGATTATAATTTATCATGACCCATTGCAATTGACCCTCACCATCAATGGCTTGGTTGACCAGCCAAATCCTCCCCTCAATGGCTCTGAAAACCATGGCCAATGGCTGTCAATCCTCGCACAGAAAAATTTTTTTGACTAAATTGCAGATCAGCCCTCTTTGCAGGATTCTATCAGTTGAATTGGTGTCTCCGCTACTCCGTACAGGGCGCTCGCTACCGCGCTAATGGCAGCTAAGCACGGGAACACCGGCATTCGGAGTCCCCACGTTATCTCTTGGAACCAATGTTGGCATACATTGCCACAAGTCCACCCCTACGATTATTTCCCATCGAATTATGATTTCTTTGACAAGATAAGATGTACTATCTTAGTTCAGGGTTGTGACTAGCTTAGGTTATTCCATCTAATGGCTCTATCGGTCCGTAACTCCTATTTGTCCATCAAGCTTAATCCATGGTCCTTTAGCCCTTGGTCTCGCGCGCGACCTGGGTGACTCTACCTCATCTTCATCCACCTTGTTCCGCAACGCCTCCTCTAGATCCTGGTTCACTATATCATAGACTTCTTGCAACACCTGCTCCGCTTCTTGGGCGGTTTCGATACCTTCTTCCAGGCTGCGTTCTACATTTTCCCGCTCACTCGTCCCTGCCGCTTCCGATGCAAAGGCCCATGCTTCAGCTAGTGCAATAACCTCATCTGGTTTAACTGGCTCCACTGGCGTACCAGCATGACGGGCGTTTATAGCCGCAGCCGCATGTTTAAATCGTGGTTGTCGAGCAAGCATTGGGTATTCCGGAAGAAGGCGACTTTCATCACTCAGCCGATTCAGGATGCGCAGAGTCGTGGATTTTTCTTTTGCGAGAATTCCAGTCAGCTGGAACTTCTGTAGAGCTAGTGCCCGTTGGCATTTTGAAAGTGGGAGGAGTTGTTCATCGGCGAAAGATAGGACATCCACTGGCTCTAAGGTGGGCGTTTCCTCGGAAGTAGATTTTCGTTTCTCTGTAGGGCGACTTTCAGGTTTCACAGAGCTGGTACCGATGGGTTGGCACGCCCTAGAGGCTGCATCAAGAAGACGCTTGCGAGCATCAACGTAGGCGGCATACTGTTCTGCGATCTGTGCTTTCTGGTCTTCCAGCAAACGAGCCGACTTCTCGATTTCCTCGGGAGGCAATTCCTGCACAAGATCATCCTCATTATTCCCAACACTCACCAGCTTTTCCTCGACCCATTGTACCAAGACATCTCGGGTTCGCTGTAGTGCAGTGGCCTTCGCGCCAGAGGCAATCCCATCGTTGTCAGAACCAACCTCGGTCTCGTGCTGCGCCTTCAGCTCTTCAAGTAGTCTCTTTTCTCTCTCTAGCTGGTTCCTCGCGCGTACCACAGCCCTTTCAAGATTATGCATCAAGCCTTCGATTCCATCCTCGGGGGTGCATCCATTTTGACCTTCTTCCAAATCTGGCGGCAGGGCAGGCTGTTGGCTGCGACATCCTACCCTATCGAAGTCCTCCGGTTTCATTATATCTCGTTTTTTAAGCTCTTCCAGATAATGCTGAAAAACTTGGAGCTTCGCATGTTGGCGACGGTTGCGGAGCAGTTCAAGATAGGCTTGGAGTTCTGAGTTGGGATCAACGGGATGTGTGTCGACGCCACCATTAGGTTGACTCTGGGGCATTCTGGAAGTATACCTCTCAGACACCGAACGGTACTCCTTCCTTGCATTCACATTTGCCTGTAATGCTTGGAGGTATTCCTTTCTTAATCCCGTCAATTCTGACGGGATACGCTTGACATCGACAACAGCATCTTGAGGTACGCATAACGAGAGATGAGATCGGGCATGGATATTTGGATGATCTGGGTTATCATCGGCAAACGTAATTTGTGACCGGAGGTAGGAGGTTAGGACTTGTCGGATGCGTAGGGCTTCCTGGCGACTTTTGATGTAAGGAGCAAGCGGTTTTGCGAAGGCAGGAATGTGCGCAGGGATAGCGGAGTCGTCATTAGGATGGGCCATGGACGGGAGTCAGTATGGGCGGTGGAGGTCCAGCGCCGAATCTGAAACGTCGAGGTGGAAATCAATTCTTGTTGACAGTCCTGATATCTAGTACCCCGGATTCAAGTTGTTTGTTTCTCTTGTTTGCTTGATGATCCCCCTCGATATTAGGTAAGCCAATGCCCACGATTCAGAGATTCACGTGATTGATGGCCAAGGTTTCGGGTGTTTGCTGCATACAGAATGACCGCACACATTCGTACTACTTACGTTGTATAAATTCATCGAATTATATGGGGTTGTGGAGCGATACGGTGTGAGGTGAATTGTTCTAAATTAAGAAGCCTTCTCGCCTCGCAGATGTGCGGTTGGTTTCAACATGCTCGAGAAAGGAAAAGGCAGACAAAAAAATATATACATCAACGACTTTGAGAATCACCCACTTTGGTTGTCTAATATTAGCAGTAAGGTCATCCTCACGAAAATAGACCCCGGTACCACCGTACCCCTCTTCTCTGGAGATAATTGACTGTAAACAAAGGTTACGCTCCAGATTAGTGGATTTTGGCAACCAACCAAAATCAATAATTGTGCTATGGTTCGGATCTTCGGGCAACGGTTTCAAGGATCCTTAACCCTTGTCGTTTCATTGTTTCGTGCCAATGAGTGATTAAGTAAAGCTTCGGAGGAGAATTATAGAAATACTACTAACTCTTACACGACCAAGAATCGAGAACTGGCGCTTCTTCCATCATCAGACAGGCGGAAAACATTGCCAGAGCTCGATGTTGCATTGTTGATAGGTCTCATGCATGTACACTGTTACTAAGGTATTTGGCTGGGAATTTTTTCTTCTGTAGTCCTAAAACAGTGGTCCTGGGGTTTGGTATGCTTTGACCCTTTGGAATCCCAATCAAGGGGGGGAGGGGATTTCTCTGGTCGTCAATTTTCATATATAGTCAGTCTCTTTGCTCTTTTCTTTTTGAAAGGGTAATATCTACCCCCTTCGCTTCTACCTGAATGAATTCATCGTTCAACTTTCTTGTCCTCTTTCTATCCCTCCCAATTTCGTGATCCATCACAATCCTTTGAAAAATGGCACCAGACTTGGCCTCCGTGTCCATTTCTACTCCAAGATCACGGCCCCGAGCTGCAACGGCGATGCAACCAGTCACTACACCGTCGGCCATCTCTTCTCGACGTCCGTCGCAAGTAATGAGTCCTCCTGCTCTCCCACTTGCGCCGGTTGTATATACAGGGAGTTCTGGGCCTGGAGGCAATGATCATGGCAGCGTAAGATCGGCGTCCGGTAAGCTGCCCTTTTTCTCTTTAGATTGGAACACTCCAGCTGAACTACATCAAGGTCCACTGAGACATCCAAAGCCTCTTACGCCGTCCGACATCCACTCCATGCTTGAACAAGAACAAGAGGCAATGGTATTCATTTTTCGCAGCCCATAAAGTCGCATATCCGTACTGATTTGAGCTCAAAGGTTAATCGTCTATCAAGAGAGCTGTCCCTCCTACGACAACAAACAGCCTCGGTAGCATCGACAACTTCCTCAACATCTACCACCCTCAACGACCCGTCAGATACCCTGCAGGCTTCCTCCTACTTATCTTCCTCAACGCACCCCACTGCATCACGACGCCACCGTTCCTCGTCAAGCTTGAGCTCCTCATACATCCCAACCGTCCAGGGCTCAAGAGCAGGAAGCGGTGCTGCGATCACTCCATCGCGAGATGTTCCTTTGTCGTCTGCCCGTCCGGGTCGGAGTCGAGAGCCATCGTTTACCTCTTCACGACAGTCAGAAGGAACGCTGCCACTGTCTCCTGCATCAGCACAGCAGTCACAAAGTGACCAATTCTCGAATTATGTGTCCGGACCGTACCCGTTCCCCCATCGTAACTCGCTCTCTCAGCAACGGTCCCGAACTACTTCCATATCCCGCCCGGATGAGATAGCACGGCAACGAGGGGAATTGGAGATACTCAAACGGGAAAATGAAGGACTCCGGCGGCGTGTTCGAGATCTCGAGCTCGTTCTTCGAAAACATCGTGAACGGGAGCCGGATGCGACAGCTCAAGTAATATCCGGATCCATTACAGCTATTACAGATGCATTGGATAAAACCTCTGTAAAAGCAGGGGATGGCACCAATTGAGGCAGTGAAGAGACCTTTGTTGGGTGATTATCTATTTAGATAGGGAGGAGGGTCCTAGATGGATCCAGGAACAGGTAATGGTTTTCGATAAGTGCTTAGTCTACTCGCTTTCGCTCGCACCTTTCCTTCTACTCAATTTGCTATTACCCGCCGACCCGCTATTCAAGAATAGCCATACTACTTTTTTTGGTCTTTTTTTTTTTTTTCTTTTTCCCGGAAAATACTTCTGCCATCTAGCACCAGCCATCCACATCATAGTTACTCGCCGTCACATGTTGATGACGACTCCCCACTGTGGCTGTGCAAGGTGCCCCTCTCCCACACGTCATCTGTGGCTCGACTGCTGCGCCAAAATAAATACTCCTGAATTGTTCTCCCCTGGGCAATTATTTCATACCTCTCGATTATTTCAATTGTACCCCTCTTGATATACCGATCCTGATATATCTTCCACTTAAAACCACATTCCATCGTCACCATGTCTGAACGCAGCACAGTCCATGTCTCGGGCATCGCGTCCAACACTTCCGAGAAGGAAGTCCAGGACTTCTTTAGCTTCTGGTAAGAGCACACTCCTTATGTCTCCAGGCCTTCGACGGGACTGACCATTCTATAGTGGCAAGATTACCTCCATCTCCGTGACCCCCGTCTCTGGTGAGCCAGATGCTCCCAAGTCCGCCACAGTGACTTTCGAGAAAGAAGCGTAAGTCTTACCCCGCACTCAATCGTTGACTCTTATAGTCCACCCATGCGAGCTTTGAAAGATGATGACCTTGAATGAATTACGCTGACTATGGCTTTAGAGCTGCCAAGACTGCCTTGCTTCTGGATCAGACCCAGCTGGGAGGTTCTGCAGTGCACGTCCAGGCTGCCCAGACTCTCGACGACATCGCCGGTTCCCAGGCAGCCAGTGCAGGAGAGGCTAGGGACGAGAACCACCATGAAATCGCGCAGGAAGACAAGCCCAAGTCCCGAATTTTCGCCGAGTACCTTGCTCACGGCTATGTACTGAGCGACAACGCAATCCAGAAGGCTATTGCCCTCGACCAGAAGCACGGTTTCTCCAGCCGCTTTACCTCGGCTCTGAGCAACTTTGATCAGAAGTACAAAGCCACGGACCGCGCCAGAGGAATTGATGAAAGCTACAAGCTGAGTGACAAGGCTGCCACTGGTTGGCATGGTCTTCACTCATACTTCGAAAAAGCTCTTGGCACACCCTCGGGTCAAAAGCTTCGCGATTTCTACGCCCAGACCGATAAGCAGGTGCGAGACATCCACACTGAGGCCAGGCGCTTGGCGGACCTGAAGAGTGGTAAGACTACTCATGAGGGTGAGGTGCCGGCTGCCGGCGGTGCAGAGGCCTCTGGTGCCGTCCCCGCAACTGCTGCTCCTGCGGTTCCTGCGGCTCCTGCTGCCCCAACTGCCCCCGCTGAACCTGCTCCTGCGGTGAGCCAGCCCGCTGGAACCGCGGCTCCTGCCGAACCTAAGGCATAATGAATTACGATGTACTGAATTTAAACTGGGATGCTTTCTGATTTGTTCTGCTGTTGTCTCCTGTATTCTGGTGTGCGTTTTTGAACAGGCTGTCTGGAACAGGCTTTTGTCAAATACCTACTACCCTAATCAGTTCTTCTTCGAATACCACTGTGCTTAGTACCCAGCTGCAGAATGCCAATGCAATGATCTACAGAAATAACGATTCATGCAAGGCCTACGAATCACAGCAAAGTAGACATAGTACAGATTAAACTTATGTGGCAGAAGTACAATAAATTGAGTACCTTATGGCCCTTTCAATATGGAACCAGATTTAAAAGTTTAAAACAGACATGCACACACACAACTAAATAGAGAAAAGAAAATCAAAGGAAGAAAGTAAAAAAAAAAAGCTCTTTCTAACACAGTTATTCAATATATTCACTGTAAAACCCAGTCATGAAAATTACAAATATGTAAACAACATCATACATGATAAACCCCATTCAAAACGAAAGGTCAACCAGTCTATTAATTCCCCGGCCCCTTCGCAAACTTCTTCGCCTCAATATCCTCCAAAGGATGTTTCGGGTTACTACTGAGTCCATGGAACTTAGTGTCCTCGGAGGCTCCCTTGGAATCTCCATGGATGCCATGCTGGGTGTGTCCTGAAGCAACGGGGTCCTGTTGCTGGGCGCCAGTTTGGCGCTCGGGGGGAGGAGACTGGCGGCCGGCGTTGGGGGCGGACATTTTTTTAACGTTTGATTGTAAAGAAGAGAGGAAGTTTTATGTGGAGGTATTCTAGAAAGGTTGTAAGGTTAGATTTTGTGGACATTTGGGGGTGGAAAGGGGTTGCATACTGTGCCTGGATTTTGGATTTTAGGTCGGTAAGATGAATGGGGGAATTGTTGGCTGGAAGGACCGATCTGGGAAGTGAGGATTTGGTGTTTAAGTACCTGTCTATAGGGTCTGGGCTCCATGATGCCATAATTGCTGTATCATCATGATGACGTCTGTCTGGTGGTATCTGGTTATCTGGTTCTACTGCTGGGTTTGGATGTTAGTGTACACCGGTGTTGCAAGTTGGGTATCTGATTTCGAGGGACATTATCCTCGATGGCCCTGAGTTTCGCCATTTGGCAGAACGTTTTACACCGTGAAAGGCGTACTACATGAGATCCAGGCCATGAACTCAAAGAAGGTTGTGCAATATCAAATGTTTACCTGGTTCATGTCTGGATGGAGATTGCGATGGCGTCATACGTCATGTTGTTTGTTCTGTTTGCTTATCATACCACGTGATCTATGTAACATGCGAGAATCGAATAAAGTATTGAATCCGCTCCGGAGATGATTTCCGGTTCGTGTTGATATTTCTTTCTTTAAGACTGACTGTCTTGGATCATCCCCCGAGCATGAATTTGGATGATTTTGGTCATCTGAATGTGGGCATCGGTCAACTGACAGAATTAATTGGGGATATCAGTGTTTGTGAATGCGTGGAGTACAATTGGAATGAGGAATAGTGAAGAGAAGACTTTTGGGGACATTCGGAGGAAACAACAACCAAAGACAGCCGTAGTGATTGCGTCAAGAAAAAGGAAATGATCTAAACAACAAAAGAAACAAAAGAAAAAGGCGTTATAGCGTATCCAGCCTGTCGCTCCACTAGACCGGCGACCTGAGATATTTCAAAAGGTGAAAGCTGCTCCAAAACAGACATTCAAAACTGGATTAGCATCTTTTATATCGTCATCGGCATCCAACAGAAGTCAACTGGTTCATTTCGTCGACCTGCTGGCTTCTTTTAGTTCTTTTATATTTCTAATTTCCGTTGGTCTGGATCCCCGCCGCAGCAGCTTCCGCATTGGCAGCAGCCAAAGCCTTGGCGTCGGCTTCATGGAAGACAGCCTGCAGCACTTGCTGCTCCTCCGCAGTCAAGATCTTCGTCAAGTTCTCATAGAGCTGCGGCTGTTCCTGCTGAAGACCTGCAACACAGTTAGCTAAAGGCGTTTCGAAACCTGGAATATGGATGATACATACCCAGGAAGACGTGCTTGAATAGGCCATACGGCTCGACCTTGTCCAATGGCGTCTCGAGTAGGCTTTCTTCGTCCAAATCATCCTCATCATCATCCGCAAAGGAGCCGAACTTCTGGGCCTAAGTATCCAGTCAGTCAATGAGATTCAACTGCGTTAGCGCATGAGATAGCTCACCTCTTTATTCAAGAAATCAAGGTATGCGGCACTCTCATCTTGAACATCGCCCTCAGGGCCACCCTCGGTCTCATCTTGGTCGGTCCACTCAATCTCTCCATCCCAGTCGTTGTCCTCATCACCTTCGTCATCCTCGTCGTCGAAGGCAAAGTCTGACTCTTTAGTTGCATCTTCGCGGCCTGTATAGGGTAAGTTTGATATCTCAACGAGGTAGGGGAAGCAACATACTCTTAAGCGCAGCAGGTAGTGTCTGGAAAAGTCTGGTCACTCCCTGAAGCAACCTAGGCCAGCCTTGCTGCACGCTCGCGGGAACATCACCAGCATTCAAGGTCAGAAGTGAGGTAATTGCTGCAATGGAGAGCTTCTTGTCATGAACTCTGCGGAAGTTGTCGATGTTGGAGAACCAGGCGCTGAAGAACTTGTTCGTCCAGCCCTTAGCCTCCAGAACTTGAAGACTGAGAAGAGGGTTATAGTAGATAGCGTTAATCACCATCTCGATGAGATGGATGCGGTAGGACTTGGTCTTTGCCTCGTCAGCGTCGAGCACGCGCATAGGCAACTCAATGAATAGAGGAATGTATTGGTCAATGCCGCCACGCAGGTTCAACATCACAGTCTCTGCTAGCTTGCAACCGCAGATCCGGTCCACACCGCCAACCTTCTCATCGCGGAAGATGTCTTCGACCATACTAACAACAGCCGCCAGGTATGCTGGGTTCTGAACCATCATCTGAGAGCCATATGCGACATAATTGTCAAGTGCGGGCAGCATGTCCTCTAGGTACAATTCCGCACCCGCTTTGAAGGTCTTGTGAATAAGCTCGAATGCTTGCCACATAGTGGGCGAGATGGACTTAGATGCGAAGGTGCAACTGTCGATAATCTCAAAGATTTCGTTGTAGAGGTCGTATAGCTTATTCTCAAGTGTGATGCTGATCACAGGCATGAGGATAGTTTCAAGGTGCAGTAAGACATCAGGGGTGCTCTCCAGAGTGAGAATGAGGGTTCCAATAGTTTGTAAGACACCCAGGGCAGTGATACTTTTATCATCCAAGAAGTCACCATATTCATCATCGCCCTTCGCGGCGTTTCTTTCCAAAAGTTCACCAACAATACGCATGTATGTGTCACGGAGCTGCTCACTCAACGCCACAGCGAATGGAGTGAGCTCAGCAGAGAACACTTCAACAAAATCTTCCATAACATTGGCCAAGGCATCCACATCGACCTCATTGGCGAGTTTGAGAAGCTGCTGCATGATCTGAGGAATGTTCTGCTGCATCGAAGTGCGGATAATATCGTGGCGGATGAGGGGTTGCAAAGCAAGGGCCGCTTCAACCCTTACAGGAAGTTCAGGATCAGTCATCGATTCAAGGATATTGCGATAGATGATCATAAGGTTGTTGGGATCCTGGAAGTCGAGCTGCTCAAACTTCTCCAAAGTGTCGCATGCGCGAGCTCTGAGGAAACCGTGGGGACTGCGGAATTCAGGGAAGACGTGACGGACAAAGAAGTATTCAACCTGATCCGCAATAGGGCTCTTCTTGCCAAGGATCACTGAAGCCAACGAACCAATCATCCGCAGAGCGCCTTCTTTCTCCCTGGGAAGCTTCTGGTCATCCGGAGCAGCCTCGTACTTGCTGACGACGCCGTTGACGAACGTAAGGATCGAAAATGTCTGTTTCTTGCGGTTCTTCGTGAGAGCAACAAGGAAGTTCGTTGCTGCAACGTCAGGCGCGGACACCTCCTCGTAGTAGTTTAGCTTACGATGGAGATACTCGGAGGGGTCGGTCTGGAACAATTCGATGTCTTCGTCGGATTGGCAAAGGATGGGGAAGATAAAATGAGCGATCAAGTTGTCCATGTGTGGCTTGAGGTGGTCCCACATCGCCTTCGGCTTGACACATTCTTCCATGTAGACCAAAGTGTAGGCGAGGGCAGGGTTGCTAAGCCACTGGCCCTTGGAAACCCACTTATCGATTTCCTGCAGATATCCCTTCAGAATTTCCGGGGCGAAAGTGGCGATGAAGTTCTTGGCGTACTGGGTATAATCAGGCGTGCTCGACTTGGTCATTGTAGTGGGGTTTCCGTATCTATGAAAGTTAGGAAGTGCTAAATCTCTCTTGACGCAGAATACTCACCTGATAAAGAGACGGTTCAAGTTAGCGTAGGACCACTTCTTACATTTCCACCAGTGGTTGAGCTCCCTCTCTTCCTTAGATTCCAACATGGAGTTTGCCGGAGGATCCTTGGCGATAACTCTGAGGAACAGTGTGCACCAGTCGACAGTCGCTTGGTGTGTTTGCAGGAACGGCGAGAGCTCGAACTATACATCCTCAGTCAGCTCCGATCCAATGTTCATAATTTCGTTTTCGAAGTCCGGTTCACCCACATAGATGGCATGTTTGTAGGACTTGACGACAATTCGGAGCATTTCAGCAGCCTCCAAACTTTCTTCATCGACAAGCTTCAAGCCGATGTTAAGTAGCTGAGGGAACGTATGCTCGACAATCTTATCAAACTCCTCCCTCTTCTCACCAGCCTTGAATCTATACACACGGCAGATGGCCAGCAGACACTGCAGGCCAGCATAGACCGAGCTTGCATCGTTGGTGCCTAACAACTGGAGGGTGATATCCAAGAAACCCGGCCACTGCTCGGGGAAGTCATGCTGGAGAATCTTTTGGAGAAGTGGGACAAGCTGTGCGCGAACGTTCGGGGGCGTTGATACCAAGGCCGGGATCAACCTTTCACGGAAGCCCGGTTTCTCCCCCTCTGGAATCGGTGTGCGCTGTGGGTTTTCTTCGACGGAAGACCAGCCACGAGTAATTCGGTTCTTCAGGTAAACACCGGCTACAGAAAACCATTTTTGTGTTAGATTGTACTTCATAGATCATATGAAGCAAGGGCGAAGGGGAGGGGAAAAAATCCGGCTGACAAAAACGTACCCGACAGTTGGACGGCATTATTTTGTTCCCCTTGCAAAATATCCAAAAGCGCATTTATAAAGCCGGGCTGTGTCTCAGCCTACGATAGTCGGATAGTGGTATGAGTATAGGCCAGAATCAAATCCATCCAAAAGTATTCCACATACATATTTTAAATCTATCTCAGCCTGACGGCGATTATCCGCATTTGGGTCGAGCGTTGACTGTATGCGGTCCCGAAGAGCTGTAACATCCATATCGCACCAACAGCAGCAAACCCCCAGCAAACAGAAATCGTATTCCGAATCAGAAGTGCCCCGTCACGTAGTAAGAGGCCCGTTAGAGGGAAAGGGGCCGAGAGAGTTATGTCGCGGGGAGATGTTGTAGTAAGAAAGTGCAAAAGTGCACATTGGGTTTGTTGGGTTTGGTTTGGTTTTTCTCGTGGATTTTCAAGCGGTGCCGGCCCCGCGCCTATGGCAGCTAATCAGAGGGCTCGCCGCCACGCGCGGTAAGAGAATTTTTTGCTGCTCCTGAACATTTTGCCCCGGAAAGGAAAGGAGAATTCCCAGACTAGCTTTAAGGGCCCAAGGTTCCCATCGGTTTTGCCGGCAGAAAGGCTGGATGCAATTAATTTTCTCGACTGTCTTTATGGTGAAGTAGATAACATGCCTCTTTGTATGAGGATAGAAAAAGGGCATTTTTGCACCTGAAATTCAAACAGAGAAACAGACAGACAAAAAGAAATATAAATAAATAAAATAAAATAAGATTGACACCCCACGTGGTGATGAACCTTAGTTGAACCTCTTGGTCTAACTACATATACAACGACGCCGCAAAAATCACATCCCTCTTGATCAGCTCCTGTGCCTGTTGCATTTTGGTATATAATGATGGATCTCCAACCAGCTTCGCCGCATTCTTCACTTCCCGGCATGTTTCGTCCAGACGAGTAATGGTTCGTACAATGGTACCTTCCATCACATCGGTGAGGTCAGTGATGCGGTTGAAAGACATTCCCTTAGCCCATTCGTAGACGACTTCCGCCAGACCAAATCGTGGTTGACTGGCAAAGTCATTGCTGTCTTCACTAGACTGAATGACCTGGTATTGGATTTGGAAGTCGTTCACCTTCTCCGAAATCTTAACGATGGCTTCCTTGCCCTTTTCCAAGCGCGGTGTCAATGTAGGAACATTCTCGGTCTTTTCCTGGAATACAAAGGCGGATAGAAGTGCAACGATCTCCTCAGGCTCGTATTCAGCCAAGACGTTCTCGAGGACCAATTCAGTCAAGACAAGCTCATCAGCTGAGTGAATCTGACCCATTTGTTAGTAAAAAAGACCACGACCTCTTTCATCGAGTTACCAAACCTACCTCACATGCCACCTTGCCTTTTAGCTGTACACGAGACTGTTCATCTATGAACCCTAGTTCTCTCAGTACCTGGATACGTTGTTCGTAATCCGGCAAAAGCTGAAGATTTTGATCGGACATCAATTGCTTCAGCTGCGAAATGTTCTCTTTGACTTGCCATTCATCGTGTTGCATCTCGAACTGCTTGATGTAAGCATGTGTTATCCGCTTTTCGGAAACAGAGTGGTCACTTACATGTTTCAAGAAGTCTGGGCATTGCAAGCATTTGCAGGACTCGGCAATTGTTGCCTGAGCCTGTCGCTTTTCTAGTATGTCCCTCACCTGTAGCTCTTTGATTCGAGTCCAATCGATTTCGTCCCAAGCGGTGCTCATCCACGATGCGCAGTATTTATGCAGCTCTTTGTCGGCATATTTAATGGCCTCTGTGTTTTCAGCTCGTTAGCACTTTTTGTAGCCATATGTCCATTTTCCACTTACCCTTCTTGATATTGAGATACCATGTTGGACCAGTCAACTTCACCATAGTATTGGTGAGACACTCCAGATCGGAGAGTGGTATCTTGCAAACTTTTAAGGTCATATCAGCTCCACGGGTTGGTAGAGTCTGAAACAGATGTCGGAATTTAGGAAGGAAGGGAAGTATATCACTTGGATGACGCCTGCCGCCTAGTTTGCCGATTTCAAGAATCTGTACGGTGGGCGTGGGCCCTCCTCCAACCCCTTCCCGAACAACAATACCAGCCGTCCGATATCCATCCTGAGGAAAATTTAGAAATGAAGATCAGGTGATTAAGATGCTCAACGTACCTTCCTGTAAACCACCAGCCGCTTGGGCACAAAGAGACGCTTCCCAACAGGGGAGGCGAGCAACCCAACATACAGCTCACTTGTTAGCTTTCCGTACTCCATGGCTGCATTATGACAAGCCACGAGATCGATGTCGCAGATATCGCACGGTTCACGCTTAATCTTAGCCAAGCTGGCTTCTGATAGTTGAACCTGTTTCTCATGCTCTGGAAGCAAAGCCTGCGTGGCATTTTCACTAAAACTGCGCTTGATCATCTCTTCAATCCTCAAAGCCTCAACACGCAAGAGGTTCAGAATCATATTGTAAGTAAGCCTAAATTGGGATCGAAGCTTGGTTGGTTCACCAAGGATCATCTGCTTCAAAGCACCGGCAGGAGGCGCTTCGTCTTTACCAGTGCTAGTAATGATCACATAGCCGACTGTATCAAGGCCTCTTCGCCCAGCACGGCCAGCCATCTGGGTATATTCACCCGGTAGCAGGTTCCTGAAGCCTTTACCGTCGTGTTTACGGAACCCCGAGAAAACCACTGTACGAGTTGGCAGATTCAGTCCCATAGCAAACGTCTCCGTGGCGAAAAGAACCTTAACCAATGATTTTGCGAACAGGATCTCAACAATCTCTTTCATAATGGGCAAGAGACCTCCATGATGAACAGCAATTCCTCTGCTTAGCAAGTCGCGAAGACGAAGTATCTGTGGGAGCGTCCTATCTTCGGGCTTCAGGCGGGTAAGTGACTTTTCGATAAACATATGGGTAAGACTTTTTTCCGATGCATTACAGAAATCCTGGTTTGAGAGTGAATCGGCATTCTCCTCGCATCTTTTCTTGGAGAACACGAAAATACAACCAGGGAGCAGATTTTCTTTGCGGAGATGTTGGACAAGTTGTACCCAGACAGTCTTATCCTGGGCAGCTGTTGTCCGTCCACCACCTCTTCCTGTACGAGCAATGTTCCCGGTACCCCTGTTAGCTGGCTGCCCTCTGCCACGCTGAGCACCACCTCCGCGTTGGGCACCTCCACGCTGCGAATTGCCGCGAGGGCCCCCTCTGCCAGGAGCTTGGCCGCGCCCTCTTCCCTGCTGGCCGCCTCTCTGAGCTTGGGACTGAGCCTGAGCCTCAGCAGCTTTTTGAGCTTTGATCTTATCTCTGCCAGAGATAATGTTATCTGCTTCTTTCCAACCGCCTTCGAGGAACCGCTTATTTGAGTCCACAATTTTGAACTTATCTTTACCAGCCCACAAGTAATGCTCGAGTGGAACAGGTCGCTTCGCAGTCGAAATAACATAGATATCCTTCTTCTTCGTGCGGCCAACCCAAGAGGCAAATTCATAGGTGTTAGGGACCGTAGCAGATAGGAGAATCAGTGTGACATGTTCAGGAAGCATGATGATCACTTCTTCCCAAACGACACCTCTTTCGAGATCATTGACATAATGTACCTCATCAAAGATCACAAACTCGACATCTCTAATCAGATCTGCTCCACGGTAAAGCATACTTCGGAGGATTTCAGTGGTCATGATCAGGCAGCTTGCCTCTGGATTGATCTGGACATCACCCGTAAGGATACCAACATCGTCAAATGTAGTCCTAAAATCCCTAAACTTCTGATTACTGAGAGCCTTGATGGGCGATGTATAGATAGCCTTGGTCATATGCTTGGCAGCCAAAGCAATAGCATATTCAGCAACAACTGTCTTTCCAGCTGACGTATGCGCTGCGACAAAAACGGAATCACCGCTCTCCAAATGGTAGACAGCCTCTTTCTGGAAAGTGTCCAGTTCAAAGGGCCACTCCCTAGCCATATCCGGCACAAGCTCGCTGAAATTGGGAATGTCTTTGTTAACATCCACAACGTGAGCCCATTCCCTGCCACCCTTCTTCTGGACAGCTGATAACAGAGGAGCACGGGGTTCCAGTGCGGGGAACTCAACCGGCAGTAATGAATCTATATCCTCCTCATCTCCGCTCAGCTCGTCGTCTTCAATCTTCACTCCTCCAACATCTGAAGCCGTGTCGTCCTTTTCAACTGGAAGATCAGCTTCCTCCTGCTGGAGGACATGTTCGACTTCTTGATCATTTTCAGCAGCTTCTTTGGATTTTGCTACCTCGAATTTGAGGCCACGACTGAACCCTGGAGCGACTTCTAGGAGGCCACCCTCAGCGCCGAAGTTAATGATCCGGTCAAGGTCAGATTGCTTGCCACCTGGTCTCGAGCTATCTGTTGCCTGGGCTTCAGATTCCAATTCAGCGATAGCCTCAACACCATCAAGTCCACCTGGCGCGAAGGGAAAGAACCCAGCGGCGCCCCTAACGAAATCTGCGCGACCAGCTGGTCGACGAAGCAGAGATGTTGAGTTCTTTGCATTTGCACTGGTGGCAGGAACCGTAACTTCATGGTAGCCAGTAACACGCCCTTCTAGGCCTTCACGGTCGAAACGAACAATAGTTCGTGTTTGGGTCGGTGCGACCTCAAAAAGATCCTTGTAGTCTGTCGACACATCCCATCGTCTGCAGAACTGTCAGCGGACGGAAGGGCCAGGGTGGGACATCGAACAAAAGATGACATATGGCAAGTGGTGTCTCAAACCTTTGTAAACGATTCAGCCACTCGGGGCTAAATTGAGATGATGGCGTAAGGAAGTCGGCCTCCAGCTCTTTAATAAGATCTTCGGCATTTTGGCGGGCTCTTGGCCGAGGACCCCGATTCTGATATTGGCCACTTTGTTCTTCTGCAAGTCGCTCATCAAAAGCTGACCCGCTAAGACCCTGTGCACTCAGGTTAAGCTCAGCGAGAGTCGCAGCGAGAGCTTCTGTTTGCGCCATTGGGGGACGGTAGAAGTGACTGTCCCAGAAATGCCTATCTGAGGAGCTGGTAAGTACTGGACCGTATTGGTTCCCAACAATCGTTTAAATATTGCGTTAGGCACAAATTGGTTGTAAGTAGCTGCTATTGTAGTGGAGCAACGTACTGTCACCGGTGCCTGCAATATTTACCAAGAATGTTCAAACATTCACAGGTTGAGGTGCGAAGAAAGAAAGGTACCTCATTCGTTGGCGGTGTTTAGCGGCGGAACACACAAACGCTGACGTCGTGTGGGGACATTAATGGATTTTAGGCCAAACCCATGTCTACTCTTCAGACTACATATCGATCTGGTAGATATATTTAGTATAAAATGGGTACAAAACCCTTGCTACCCTCTTTTAGTATTTTGCTGGCAATTTCTTGTTGGTTAATTTTGGATTTTCTTTTTTTTTTTTCTTTTCCCCTCCATAGTGGGGTACATACAGTAAGTCGGACAGGCCTACTCAGTAAGTGGATTTTAATGCCCACCTCTATGCAATATTAAAAAATTTCTCCAATTTGTCCAACAGATTGGCTACTCAGTAGCATTGTATCTAGATATTTCAGAGGGAGATATTCTTTCTAACTAAAAGCTAACCTTGACATGCATGGCAATACAGCACGGCACGTATACAACCAGAGCCAACCAAACAGTAGCTGAAAGAATGGTATTGTTCTACCCGTCCCTAACCCTGTTACACATCCCTGAGGATGAAGATGGAAAACATACGATATTAGCTCTACTTGGCAGAAAGGAATACGGAGGTAACCGTAAATGTACTCAAGTCCACATCGGCGAGCTTATTAAGCATGCATGAGATCTCAAGATCATCTTACTAACAACTTGGTGGAATATGATCAAGTACAGGGAGAGCGAAGCCGAACAGCAGAACTGTGTAGGCGAAGCAATAGCAGATATACTAAGAGTACTCTGAATCAACCAGCATGGGTACTATCAAAAATCCAGGACGAACTATAGAAGCCTCGTATAGGTGAAGGATCACGATATTACCTCAACCTGAGGCAGCAACACCTAGCTACTAGTACTAGTAGATTTAGGTAGTTGATCATGTGTGGTCAATATTACTGCGTACTTTGCAAATCAAAGAAAGTTGTAAGAATTTAGTACTAGTATTCTTGTGTCGTTCTCTGTATTTAACCATTAGGATAGAAAAGAAGACAAAAAAGACCACAAATAGAAAAAGACTACCGCGTGCGTCCAAATTCAAATCGAACTAAACAATTCAAAGATAAAAAAAACGTTCCTTTAGTAGAAGGGAATGCTTGGACTCCGAGTCCGGACTTGACGCTCTCGACCGCATTCCCCGGATCGACCGCCAAAAGCCTTTGTGTCAAGTCTTACGTCATCCGCCCATGACTCCCGCCGAAAGTCATGATCGCACTGGAGTACAAGGTTGTCAAGTAAGAGCGGTGATCTCTTACTACTTAGGCTGAGAGCTCACTTAACTACATCGAGCTATCGCTTCCTACCCAACTGTTTGAAACATTCTCATACGAATAACTCGGCATACCATTCTCCGATTGCGTTCGTACCACTCCTCTACTTCCACGTTGACGACTCAGCGGCCTTATCCCTTTCAGCTCTGTTCACCTTCGCCTCTATAGCGACCCTTCCCTCCGTCATTCTTGCAACGCCGCTACCACATGGGAATCAATACATCCAACGATGTCACCTTAGTCTAGCCTCGACCTCTCACCATGACTACGGATTCTGCGCTTTCGTTGGTCTTTCCCCATCCAACGAGTATGATGTATACCTATGCTCCGCCGTCTACTAACGCGCTGCACTGCGATTCTAGGTACCATTCGACCGAGTCTCTAATCCTTCCGAAAAAGCGACGCTTCTTTCCCTTTAAGATCCCAAATTTGTAAGTGTCCTAGACTTAGCGCAACTCGGTCGCACGCTTGACTTGAACTAACGACCATTTAGCCATCAACAACTGCGAAACTATATCAGCACCGCTGACCCCGATAGGATTTACGTTGTCGTCGACAGAGTCATATATATAATTCATATATCATCGCAAAAACGAGAGACTCTAGCTGTTATCCCGTTCGAACCGAAATGTCTTGCTGCGGGTTACGGTTGGATCGCGGTTGGAGGTTCAGACAATGGTGAATGTGCTTTAATCAGGATTTCCGACCGGGGAGTGCGTGTACAGGAGGATACATCAACTTCTGAACCTTTAGATGTTGACAGTGCCTTGCCGATTGATCTTGGTGCGCCTACAAGAATCTCCCAATCCTGGTTTTCTGGCGACGAACCGGATTCAATACAGGAAGCCGACCACGTGCAGCTGCCGGGTGTCCAGCTGCATAAGTTTGGTGGCAGCATCGTGAACTCCGTGACTATCCACCGGCTACCTGGTGATGGAAAAGGCTTAGCGGATGAGGACATCATCATTCTCAGGTATTGCGGTCACATCCTACCGTCAAACCACTAACGTGCTGATGAAACCTGCCAGTAATAATGACAAGTCGGTCACCGTTTATTCTCTAACCCGTTCGAAGGTTCTCAAGGTCCTCAATCACCCAGCATGCATGAATTATGCGATCGTCTCACCAGACTCTACCATCCTAGCTGCAGTTGGTGATGAAACCCGCGCGTATTTCTACGATATTACCCGCGACTTCGATACAACCGTCCTAACAACGAACGGTGAAAAGCTTACAGGCTGGAACTGGGATCCTCTCCGTTCCATTGAAATGGATATCGGTACTCGGATCGATGATGGTTGCTGTTTTACTGTTGCATTCTCCCAGTTTAGTCGACTGTGTGCCATTGGGTCTCAATCCGGGGTTATCACTGTTTTTGATGTTAAAACGCTTCGGGATATTACCCATGAACCAAATGAGAAGAGCTCGATAATATGTCATTTCAATTCTTCAAGGCTTTGTTGCAATGGTGGTGCTGTGCGCTGTATGACTTTTGCGCCCGAGCCGTGGGACCTCTTGGTGTGGCTCGAAGACAAGGGCCGGGCTGGAATTGCAGATGTTCGCCAGGGTTTTCTACGCAGGCAGATCATCCATCTGGACAGGAATGATCCTGAGATCGAGGAAATTCGTACTGAGCCCATCTTGGACGAATCGGTGGGTTTAGAACTTGAAACTGATGGCCGGTCCAGCCCAGGATCCAGAGCAGATGCAGGACAGCGGGCCGCCCTGGGATCCATCGACACTCCGCCAAATGAATTGGGTGGGGAAGCGTCCGACAATCCACCATTGCGTGATGCTCTGTTACAGGATCTCACCGAAAGGGAGAGGTTAATCGTAGAGTTTCTGAACACAGCTCGCTGGACCTCAAGGCTGGAAGAGGGTTTGGCAGAGAGGCGAGCCAGAGCCAATGCTCCTCCGCATCCTGCACCCCGTTTGCGCTTCCAAGGTTCCACAGATGTGTCCAATCGTACTTCTCGTCCCACTTCGCCCCTTCGCCATGGGGATTCGCTCCAGGACACGCCGCGGGACGGCTCCTCAGCGCAGCCAGGAGCCAGTGAACGCAGACACAATGCTAGACGTCAAGCTTCTGTTATCCTATCCCAGGGCAACCCCGAAACACTCAATCGAACTCCGGAGGCGGGCGGCTCAAACATAGAACCGCAGCCAAGCATTACACTCAGTTGGACTGCTTCCCCGTCCGAGATACAATCGATCGTATCCGACACTCGTCAGCGTGCTGCAGACTCGTCGAGCGATCAGAGTAGTTCTAGTGGTAACGAAGCGGGCGTAGGAAATCGAAATTATGGGACTTTGGGGCGCCCGTCCGCCACTTTGGACTACTCCACGGCCCCTGTAGAGTCAATACCACGGCCACGGGACCATCAGCGATCCCGTTCCGGGCACAGACATACTGAGAGACAAGACAATCCGACTGGTACCCGACACGAACCTCTACGCGTATCAAATACAGAACTGCGAACCAACGTGGCGGCAGAGCGCCTTCGACGACAAAGACAAGTGGTCAATGAAACACATACTCGAAACCACCCGCGGTATCGGCAGCAAATATTAGGCATTGACAACAGCCGCTCTCCTCGCTGGATCAGGAGTATCTTAAACGAGCTTCCAGACCGCAGTTTGGGAGTTGGACACAGAGACCAGGAGCCAGGGAGTACTGCTGGAATTGGGTGGGGTGCAGACGGCAGAACATTGTAGGTTTCTGGCGTACATTGACGATGACAATACTGACTTGCATAGGTACGTCGCAACTGTCGATGGTATATTCGAATACCAACTTAACATTGGGGACCGGAAGACATTCCCCGTTGTCAATTACCGCTAGAACAACATCCTGTTTCAAGGTCTTCTTGCGCAGCTAGGCTATGACTTTTCACTTCCAAACTTGACGTCGCTTAATGTTGAATTAGTATGATCCGGTAACCTTTCTGTGAAAGGATTCATGGTGGCAACGGGAGAGGAGTATAGTTGACGGTGTTGGTGTTCATTTTGTTATTATTTCCTCCGTCTTCGAGTTTGGGCTTGATGTGCGATCTCTCGCATCATGATATCTTGGAGATACCATTTTTTTTACATTCGCTTCTTTCTCTTTCTCTTCCTTCTTTCCTTTACTCGCCAAGTTTACTTCATCTCCTAGCTCAGTTAAGGAGTCGCTCTACTCGCTATCTTCAGAGGCATCCATTTGTGCATAGTTGATTCATTTGTCTCGTTGCATTTGGTTTCAGGAGTTTGGGAAAGGAGATGGGTCGCAGTATATGCAAGGATAGTTATAGTTCTATGTCAAAAGTTCCGTGTATCTGCTCGATTCGTGCGATGTGAAAGATGGTCAAAGTAATTGCGTCCTGACCTCTAGCAGACGGTAGACTTTTGACCTAGAGGTATACGAAAGATAGCCCTAATGGGAACATTGTAGGTATTGTTCACATCCAAAGTTAAAATATAATCGGAGGGCACTTTTCCATCGATAACTGGCCCCCTAGGAAGAAATAGCGCACATCCTCAGCAGTGTCAAATTAAGGTTCTTAGATGGATCGTATTCCTAAGGTATACGGCAATGCTAACCAACACTTGTCGCCACTTGTGCGAGGCATTTCACATTCTAACAGTTCAATGTCGACATATCTGGAATTTATTCTCTAGGGAGGCGACTTTGACTTCATTGAGGCAAGAAGCATCATTGGTTTCCTACAGTTAGAAGTGTAGTCTATAGACTTTCTTGTCTTTGTGCTCCCATTGTATGTTTAGGTATACTATGATGCTGTAAAAAATGTAGCGCTACTCGTCAATACTTCCCTTTTGTTATTTTCTCGTTTTCCTACATTTGTGCTGTGCAAACAAAGAAGAATAGGGGTCGCGTTATCGAAAACAGCATGGGTGTATCTGGTACTTTCTGGTTGGCTTGACTTGAAATAAAAACGTCCCCGTTCTCTAGTATATATATACACGCCTGAGGCGAGTTTGTTTTGCACACTCGACGGTGTCTCTGCGCCTAGAAGAGACAATTCGACTCCATTGAATCAGAGTGAGACGCATTATTTCAATGACGAGGCCTACTAGACAATAGGTGTTTGGCAAGTCCTAAATGATACAAGTGTTGGGTTGTTGAGATACTTCTAGAAACAGCTAGCGTTTACGATGCATCACAGGGGCGGGTAGATAAGATACAGAAGCCGCAAAAAAAAAAAAGGCCAAGAATGAGGCGGCATTGCTGCGGTATTCCAAAAGGAGAACGGTGAAAAGGAAAACAAAGAAAATAGACTGAAAGGCAAGGAAACAAAAGAAGTAGGAAATTTCCTCGGCTTTGCTTCTTTGGTATGTATGTACATACCAGGTGGCCAATGTACAGTACCAATGTGGTACCAATATGTCGCCACACTACGGAGTACATAATAACAGTGGTTCCATTCGGGAGATTGGGAGAATGATAAAGACACGTTCTAGGCTAGTTAAGAAGGCGATCTGATCAGATAAAAACGAATCAATTCGATTTGATACTGGCTCAATCTCTATAATCTGTATCCCATCCTCAGGTAGCCTTCTGCTATATCCACTCCGTATAGTGACGAAGAAAAATAAAGCTCCACCATATGAGCAATTGATCTTATAGTTGTAGAGACCCCCTTGTACAGTCTACAAATCAAGACTAAGCCAAAATGAACCCTTAAACCGTCTAGGATATGGAATTAAAAGATCCATATTGACTCGGACGAAGGCCTCCACAGCTTAGCTATTACGGAGTCTTCCTACTAACTCCGTAGTGTCACAACGGGTAGGAATGGGACTCTCTCCGGCGGGAAACACAGCTCTCGCGGGTGGCGATGCCGATTGGCTCGGTTACCCAGGCGGTCTAAAGGCAGTCCGGTTACTCATTGGGTGGCCAGCTACGTTGCTGTGATTCTACCAACTTCGACGACGGGCCGAAGCTCTCCGTGACAATTTTTACTACTGCCGGTCTCCCTTCTTTTTATGTTTCCTTCTCCCCCGGAAAAGACTTGAAAACCATCATCTCCTTTTAATCACTCCTCACCCTCTCAACCTACCCTTTTCTCTCTCATCCACACCTCATCACTCCCTTCGATTGAGTCGACTGGAGTTTCCTATATTTTCTTTTAATTTGTGTATTATTTATCTTCTTTAATTCTCAATCACAATGTTGCCTTCGCGTATCACCCGCGCGGTATGTGTTTTCTTCCCAACGAACAGACCTTAGCATAATGCATTCGAGATCGAAACTGACTTGGCTTTTAATGCAATAGCTCCCGCGCACTGCTTTCACCCGCGCCGCCGGTCTCAGAGTCCCCAGCACATCCTTCCGGAGATGGAACTCGACAGAGGGTGGTGAGGAGAAGGTGAAGGGCCAGGTCATCGGTATTGACTTGGGTATGTTCCGTCCAGACAAGACCAATTCATCAAAACAAGCATCTAATGCGTCTCTTTAGGTACCACCAACTCTGCTGTCGCTGTCATGGAGGGAAAGACCCCCAAGATCATCGAGAACGCTGAAGGTACGTGAAAAATTTTTTCGTTTCCGGGAGCTCGGCATATGATTGGTGAGCTCTGCGGCTAACATGAAATTCAAAGGTGCCCGCACAACTCCTTCCGTTGTCGGTTTCGCTCAGGATGGCGAGCGTCTCGTTGGTATCGCTGCCAAGCGTCAGGCTGTTGTCAACCCCGAGAACACTCTTTTCGCCACCAAGCGTCTCATCGGTCGCAAGTTTACCGATGCTGAGGTTCAGCGTGACATTAAGGAGGTTCCCTACAAGATCGTTCAGCACGACAACGGCGATGCCTGGGTTGAGGCTCGTGGCCAGAAGTACTCTCCCTCTCAGATTGGTGGTTTCGTTCTCAACAAAATGAAGGAGACTGCCGAGAACTACCTCAGCAAGCCCGTCAAGAACGCCGTCGTCACTGTTCCCGCCTACTTCAACGATTCCCAGCGTCAGGCTACCAAGGATGCCGGTCAGATCGCTGGTCTTAACGTCCTCCGTGTCGTCAACGAGCCTACCGCTGCTGCCCTTGCCTATGGTCTGGAGAAGGAGGCTGACCGTGTCGTCGCTGTCTACGATCTTGGTGGTGGTACCTTCGATATCTCCGTTCTGGAGATCCAGAAGGGTGTCTTCGAGGTCAAGTCTACCAACGGTGACACTCACCTCGGTGGTGAGGACTTCGATATCAACCTTGTTCGCCACATCGTCCAGGAGTTCAAGAAGGAGTCTGGCCTCGATCTCTCCGGCGACCGCATGGCTATCCAGCGTATCCGTGAGGCCGCTGAGAAGGCTAAGATCGAACTTTCTTCTTCTCTCCAGACCGAGATCAACCTTCCTTTCATCACTGCTGATGCCAGCGGTGCTAAGCACATCAACCTCAAGATGACTCGTTCCAACCTCGAGTCTCTGGTTGACCCTCTCATCAGCCGCACTGTTGAGCCCGTTCGCAAGGCCCTGAAGGATGCCAACCTTCAGGCCAGCGAGATCCAGGATGTCATCCTGGTCGGTGGTATGACCCGTATGCCCAAGGTCACCGAGTCCGTTAAGTCCATCTTCGGTCGTGAGCCCGCCAAGTCTGTCAACCCTGACGAGGCTGTTGCCATTGGTGCCGCTATCCAGGGTGCTGTCCTTGCTGGTGAGGTCACCGACGTCCTTCTCCTTGATGTCACCCCTCTGTCCCTCGGTATCGAGACCCTCGGTGGTGTCTTCACTCGTCTGATCAACCGCAACACCACCATCCCCACCAAGAAGTCCCAGACCTTCTCTACCGCTGCCGACTACCAGACCGCTGTCGAGATCAAGGTCTTCCAGGGTGAGCGTGAGCTCGTCAAGGACAACAAGCTTCTCGGAAACTTCCAGCTTGTTGGCATCCCCCCTGCCCACCGTGGTGTTCCTCAGATTGAGGTCACCTTTGACATCGATGCCGACAGCATCGTCCACGTCCACGCCAAGGACAAGTCCACCAACAAGGACCAGTCCATCACCATCGCCTCCGGCTCTGGTCTCTCTGACAATGAGATCCAGTCCATGGTTGAGGATGCTGAGAAGTACGGTGCTCAGGACAAGGAGCGCAAGGCTGCCATCGAGGCTGCCAACCGTGCCGACAGCGTCTTGAACGACACCGAGAAGGCTCTCAAGGAGTTCGAGGACCGCCTTGACAAGGCCGAGGCTGAGCAGATCCGTGAGAAGATCACCGCTCTCCGTGAGTTCGTTGTCAAGAACCAGTCCGGCGAGGGCACCGCCACTGCTGAGGAGCTCAAGCAGAAGACCGATGAGCTCCAGAACGCCAGCTTGACCCTCTTCGACAAGATGCACAAGGCTAACGCCGAGCAGCAGCAGTCTCAGTCTGGCGAGGCCAACCAGGGCGAGAACAAGGCCTAAATGTACCACAACTGATTGGCCCTGTCCCTGCAAAGGTTCAGGGTTGTTTGTTTCCCTGTACCTCTCCTATATCCTCTTTCTTGTCTCATCTAGAGATTTCTCTCTTCACCATTGTTTTAACACGCATATGATATGTATACATACCAATAGTTTTTGATTTCTATGCCCTCTGCTCGGTGTATGGGTGTTTGTTTTCTTCTCGTTTGTACTGGAACCGGTTGCCTTCATACCTTTTAGGGTCGGATGAGCATACTTGAAATGTTTCTTTTGCTGTTTGTTGGGAGGCAGTCCTTGACGGATTCGAGGACTGTCTACACTTGTAACTTTAATGACATTTAACGGCTGGGGACCACGAAAAAAGGGTTTATCCGGAGCATGTGTTAATAGAACAGGAAATTCTCCTCTCGATTCAACCAAGTTTTACTTTTTTTTTTATTTCTTCCTCCCGATCTTGAGTAGGCAGCGTCGGCAGCGTTTTACGATGAAACTAAGGTTGTCTGAACTGGATAGCTTCCTTGTGTCCCAAACAGCGAGAGTCGTAGCCCACAATTTCCCTGCCCCATCTGCATTCTGGTCCGAATTCTCCAAGTGGGCCGAGGGTGCGCGCGTTCAACGGAGTAGTGTATCCTTGATGATGACCAGTGTCGCCGCTATTTTCTCTCTCATTTCTTTTTCATTTCCTTGTTAGTTTAGAGTACCTGCTGCATTCGGGGTTGGCTCTTCCTCTGGGTTTCCTTTTCGTGTTTCTCTAAATCAAGGATTTATCCACCCCATGCTAGCCAACTGTCCCTACATACAGATAGATACATAGTACAGAAAAATAATGTACACAGTACATCCATTCGACCACGAGTAATATCCAACAGAAAACAAAACAAAAATCCCAAAAAAAAAAAAAAAATCCCCTACACTACGGAGTATTAACCCAAGCGGTATAGTGTCCTTGAGTGAAGCAGATTGTTTGGCGCACACACACACACACACACACACACACACACACACACATTTCGAGTTGTCCTTTGCCAGCTGTTCACTAGTTTGGGGATGATCGCTGGGCCATTTTAATTAAAATCAGTATTTTAGTTCGGTGGGGATCGAATCAGAATCAGAATTTCTATGCGCCGGCAAGACACACACACACACACCATTCTGTTGCTCGAGTCCGCCATTCCACTGTTTAGTTTGAATGGGGGGGGGGGGGGGGTTTGCTCTTAGTTAGTTAACTACTTGGTTGGTTGGTGGGTTTTCGGTATTATTAATTGCTTTTTTGTTTTGTTAGTTATTGGGGTTGAATGGCTTGGCGAGTAAAGTAGGTTGAGTAGTTAACTAATTAACATGCCATCTTTGATAGTTATGATGAGGTGAGGTTGATTGGGAGCCGAGGATATTGAACCTCTCACCGATAGGATAGGAAAAAAAGGGCAGAAACAAGAAAGATAGAAAAAAAAAAATTCAAGTCAAAGGGACCCCATTGTTGGCGGGGATGTTCCAATAGTAGTGGAATTCCTTGCATGGGGTGAGGTTATATATCGATCTCTGCCTTGGAATTTAACACTTTACAATATGTAATCCGCTTGGATGTTACCACTTTACAAGACTTGTTCTGTTTTTATTTTTATTTTTATTTTTATTTTTATTTTTATTTTTATTTTATTTATTTATTTATTTTTTTTTTTCCATATTTTTCATTATTATTCTGACGCGAATCCTCAGATAGGGAGAGAAAGAGAAGACAGATGAGAGGGGGGGGAAAGCTCATACCCCCGGGTTTGGTAATCATAATAATAATAAATAAATCAGGAAAGAATTTTTCTTATTGGAATGTTAAAAGGGGGGGTGTGTGGGCTTGACACAACTGCAGAGAGAGAGTGTGTGTATGTGTATGTGTGGATTGTGATGCACATGGTGGAGCAAGATATGCAGGATTGACAATACTTTTTGGACTTATCAAACCACTTGTTTATACTCTGGATAAACTATGGTAATATAGTTCAATGGTTGAATAAGCTGGCCAGAACCGCCTACGGTGTTTGGACAAGTTGCTCCCCAAATATGGGGTAGGCTTTTGATTATCCCAGCGGCGGTATTATAGCGGGGGGATGCTATAGGTTGGTTAGTGTTAGGTAGTTATCAAGGGTTGGGATGGGGCCAATCGATCCCTTTTGTTCCCTATAATAATGCATATTATGGATGTTGGTGGAGGAGGAGACGACGACGACGACTACGATGGTGTATATCCTGTAGCTGTACCCTCTTATCCAGCATTACACAGGGCTCCACCGCGAAACTTGCAGCAGCAGTTGCAGTAGAGAAACAAATCAACGTTGTACACAACTGCAGCCAGGAGCTCACCTCAAGGGTGCAAAGACTTGTCAGAGATAGAGGGAAGGGATAAGTGGGTTTTCTCCGGAGTGCTCTATTTCATTTTCATTTTCCTTTTCATTTTCGATCTGGAGGGGAAACTGAGGGGGAGGATACGATACGGAGGACTGAGTACGTACTCTTCAAAGATTCCCAAAAGGAAAAGAAAGGATCGATCGCCCATACCCTAACCCAAAGACAACGGAGGAGACGAAGGGATTGTACTCCGTACCTGACCCAGACTCTTACAATCATCACATTTAATCAAATTAAAAATAACTGTCATTTCCTGAATCCAAGGATTCCAACGATGAATCTCTGGGTCGTGACCCATGGACAAGACTACTCACTACGCCGTAGTAAGACTGGCTTTCTCTTGTGTCTGGACGCTCGCCCTGGCTCGTCCTGATTTGCTGATCACTTTTGTCTTGCTCCATACGGAGTCTGAATCTCCAGTTGGATTTTTCTGGGTTTTCCCCACTTAGTTAATACTCATTACCAGATGGGCCTTTTCATCCCTTAAGGAACAGGTAACTTGTTTTCCTCCCGTGACCTTTTGTTTTTTTTTTTTTTTTTTTTTTTTTTTTTTTTTTTTTGCTTTTTTTTTTTTTTTTTTTTTTTTTTCTTTTTGTTCCAGGCAGGGACATTGTTGCCACATTTCCGCCCTTTTTTCAAACCCACCCCCAGGAGGTTTCATCTGTCTGAGATAGTATGTTGTGGCAGGACGAGGTACCAGGGAAGTAGTACGACTCCCTCGTAGGTGAACAATACTATGGAATCCACTGATGATCACGCATTACACAATCCACTAATTTTCCATGATCTTCCACATCCCTCCTCATTTAACCATGTTACATATTGGTAGTAGATCATGGCGCCCTGATTGGCCCGCCCCAGCTAAAAATAAAATAACATGTTAGAAAAATTTGTTGCCCGTCTTTTCTCTGCTGTCCTGCGGGAAAGCGAAGAACGCCTCGAAGTTTGGTTTTACGAATTCGTCAGTGGGATTCTCCCGTTTCCAGGAGATCAATGGAATTTTGATATGTGGATTTGGGCACCGTTCTGGTTTCTGCTTTGGATTGGATCGAATCGCAGCCGAACGGTGGTGTGGCTGATCGTTTTAGGTTGGGATTTTTCTTTTCTTGCTTTGGGCCGGTGTCGCGCGTCCTGTACCCAGTGTTTCTGTACATAGTACATCTCAGATCCTCGACTGGGGGGTGATAAATTAAAAAAACTATACATCAATGAGTTGATTGTGTTTGTCACTAGTGTGACAGTAGTGGGTTTTTATTCGGAGGGGGTCCAACAGAACACAGCACATTGGATGATTGGGGGGGCAAAACACTTGGTATTACCCAGGTAATTAATCCAATGTAATCCTAATCAGAATGGGAGGAGATCAAAAAAAAAAAAAAAAAAAAAAAAAAAAAAAAAAAAAAAAAAAAAAAAAAAAAAAAAAAAAAAAAAAAAAAAAAAGAAAAAAAAGAAAAGAATGGAGGAAGGAAAAAAAATTCATCTAGAAAAACATAACATTCTTGTGAGATGAAGGAAGAATTCTTCACAAAAGACCCTGAAGCGATTTGTTGATATCCAAGTGCTGAAGAACTGGAGAATAGAATTATGGTCATGAATCTGCATTTCTTGTGCTACCCCCTTTCAGCCCATGTAAGGCTGTTGATGTAAATTGACAATTATTACTACATCTGATACTTTAGAGCTCAACTCGATCCATGGACTGGTTTGTTTGGAACTGACCGCAAAAGTCAAAACGGGGTTCAAACTACTAGTATACTAAGTTAGTTTAGTGAACTCGAGCTGTCCCAATTGAAAGCGCCATTATTATTATTTTCTGCCCTCGCTCTCTCCTCTCTTTTTTCTTAGCGTCTTACTTTTTTATTTCCTATTTTTTTTACCTTTTTTTTTGACTCAACCTTTTTCACAAATCAAAAAAAGTTTAGAGGAAAAGAAACGAAAAATAAAACCAGATAAACTTTTATCATCATCAATTAGCATTACCGCCTATTTATCATCGGCGGTCTTGACTTCCAATCCGTTGAATCCCTTGCTTGACCGTTACCACTTCTTCAACTTTGACTGGGTGACAAGACCATCACTGAAAGGGTCCACGGGAAATTTCCTGGTCACTGTACTTTTCTTGAGGGGGAAAAAAACGGGCAGAGTGCAGCGCGCTAGCGGTTTGTTTCTCTTCTTCCTGCTCTTGGGGAAGTACTTTCTTTTACTTTGTTCGACCTTCTATTGCTGCAAGTGTAAGTCTTGATTCTTATTCGAGCACTTCGGGGCCTCCTTGTCAAATCCCTACCTCTCGCTCATACTCCTCTGACACTAGCATTGGCTTTTGTTTCTGCTCTCTTATCTATCATTCTTAGCCCACTTATATTCAACCCTTCTGCACCCTACATTCTGTCACTGCTGGACCGTTTTTTCCCTCTTCCTTGGGCTTTGACTCCTTCTCTTCCCTTCTCCCCTGCTTGGAATATTTTGTCCCGTTTTGTTTTTCTTTTATCTTATTTTATTTATACTTTTTTCTTTCTACATCGTTCACTGTTCATTCTCATCGGATTTCGCCCGCTACACCACCAACTCTACTTACATGGTGCATACTCCCGGACAAAAGAAAAAGTAAAAATACCATTTCGCTAACCCGACTTGCTTCTTCAGTTGTCCATCATGACAGTTGCTGCACCGCCTGTGGCACCCGTTCACGAAAATGGTATTAACGGCAGTGCCCCCGGGCACCACCATGTCAACATGAGCTTGCCACGGTTCCACCCAATCGCAATGAATCCGAGCCAACCAGTGCATCCTGAGCAAATGATGCCGAATCATTCTCACTTCCGTCCTTTTCCTCCACCTCATCATATGCAAGAAGCAGGCCCACCGGGCCCGGCTCCTCATCCTCCTTCTCATATAGATCAGATTGATGCTCGCCTGAGGCAATTGGAACATGAAGAAGCAGCTCGTATGGCTGCTCGTAGCCACCTTCTTGCTATTCGAAAGCGGGAAGACGAAGAATTTCGTAGGATGACTGAGAGTGCTGAAGCCGAAGAAGAGGTATGCTATAATACATGATGATTCGATCACCCGCTAGATATTAGTCTGACATGGGCAATTGCCCGCACCATAGGAACTTCGTAGGCAACGGAAACGACTGAAGCGAGAATCCATGGGATTGGGGTATAATGCAAGCATGGACTCTCCGCCACTGCGGCCGACGCCGCCACGTCGTTTGTCAGAGACCAATGCAGCCACCACCCTTGCGTTCTTCAAGCAGCAAAGTCCTCCAGAGCCTCGTGCCATCCCTCCGCCGCCTGTACAGGCACCGCCTTCTCATCCTCCCCCTCAACATATTTCTCATGACCCTACTGCCGGCACCATTCGACGAAAACAAAAATACACCATTAAGAATGTCGAGGCTTGGGGGGAACGCCACGGACGACCTGCAGCACACGACCCGTCTGGACGGGCGTTGTGGAAGCGACCATCGGATGGTAGTCTAGTATATCTGACCTGCCCAGTTGCCGGCTGTGGAAAGGCAGACTTTGTGACGCTACATGGTTTTATGTGCCATTTGACCAAGAAGCATAAAGATCGCAGTCTGGGGAGTCAATCAAGGGCGTTGGAAGTTTGCGGCATCGTCTATGACCCTAATGCACCCCTTCCGCCGGTGTCCACTGTGCAGCGTGCGTCGACCGAAGAAAGTCGCGGTGACTCGGCCCCTACAGACCCTGAAGGCTACCCACAAGAGATGGACTACTCTTCCGCATCGGATGACGAGGAGAGCCGGAAGAATCCCGTGAAAACAGAGGCGGCAGATCGGACTTTACCCGTCCCGACGGTCCCTTTCCCGCACCCGGAGGAGCCATCGAAAGCACGGAAGCTCAATAATTCTACAAAACAATCGATATCCTCCATAATTGATCGTGATCCCGAGGATGAGCCCCGGGAGCGTTTAGTTTCCATCCCCCCTCGCCCCGTCGAGGCTCTATCGCGAGCCTCTCCGGAGCAAAAGCCCTCTATCCCCACTGAAGCCGAGGCGTCTCGGCCCGATGAACGAAATCAGGAACCAAATGAGCCCAAGGAGACCGTCGAGTCAAAATAATACTACAATCGATCTTATTTCTTTCCTAATACGGTCTGTTGCGCTATTAAAATACGCAGAACTTGCATTTGCATCCTACGAGCACGCTTTAGCTTTTGACACCTTTGCCGCTGCGTGAATACCCTTCTATGCATTCCTGGGTGGCTTTGTCTACTTCTTATGTCAATTCTCTTCGAGTAATGTAATGTCTTTTCCATCATTGCTGGTCATTCTGTTCTGGGGCGCTGGTCGACTTGCGTCTATTCGTTTCCTGTGTCAATTTTGCTTTTAACATAGTGGATACCTACGATATAAACCCATTTATACCTATGACCCGCGTGACTTGGTGGGTCACCAAGAAAAAACTGCTGTGGTGCTCGCGCGCATCTCTTTTATGTTACTTAATGGATATCGCGAAGCCCGTCAGTGGCTCATTGCATCATTGCAACCGACCCTTGATAGTGGCCAAACCAATAAATCAATATATCATGTGCATGCCTTCCACACACTTTCCGTCTGCCCATGACTAGAGGTGTCCTGAACTTTCGATGAACTGCTTCCGCACCGTACTCGTTTTGCTACAGGACAGGCAAACCGCCATCGAGTAGATGGAAGTCACCAGCCCTCACCTCCAGACCCTATCCACCTCGCAACCATGACCGACACCCCCCTCTACCGCATCTCACCTCGCCTCCCTGATCCAATCTCACACCTCTCCACCCTTCAACACCAACACATGCACCAAATACCCCGACCCAGACGCCAACTTCCTCCCCAACACCTCATCACTCACCCTCCAAACCCGAAACGCCCTCATCGTCTCCCTCAACCAAGCCTCAAACACCTCGGGTGACCGCTGCTGCTGCGCAATCACACAAACCGTCGGCCTCTTCTCCCCCTCCCGCAACTGCCCCCCAGGAGCATACACCGCCCTCAGCCGACACACATCCGCACACGTGCGCACAAACGGCGCAATCAACGCCTCGTTATAGATACAATCACAGGAAATCAGCACATCAAACCCGCGATCCGCGTCCCCGTCACTAGTCGGGATACTATCCTTCAGCGCGGCCGGATCATCCGTTTCCCAGTCCAGGGTGGTGAAGGTGATGTTTGTGGTGGACTTTTGTGATGTCTTGTTGGTGGTGGTGGTGGTGGTGGTGGTGCCCTGTTTACTGGATTTGCGGTTGCTAGCCTTGGACTTGGGGTGTGAGTGCTTCGGGGCGTTGGACTCGAGATTGGACCGCAGCAGACGATGCACGTATTCTTGGTCGGTGGCGATGTAGTGCGTGATGGTGGGGGAGAGGGCCAGGGCTATTAGGCCGGAGATGCCGCAGCCGAGTTCGAGGGCCGTCGAGGTTGGGGCGAGGATCGTGTTGGTCCACAGCGGGTTGGATTGCGTTGTTATCCATTCTGCGAAGAGGGGGGTGATTTTCCAGAGGACTGCGGGGTGGATTACTAGTTAGCTCATTGGTGGTTGATAGATTGGTTGGACTGATAGAGAAATGTAGGTGGGATGGATGTAGATAGAGTTGGTCAGATAAGATGTCCAGGGTTCGGAATGGGATATACATAGTGTAGATGCATGAAATGAATCCATGTGAAAGTGATAGCCAAGAAAATAAAGTAAAACGGAAAAAGAGAGATTTACCTGCGCCAGTCGTGCCGCCCGCGCGCGACGACGACAACAGCGTCGGAGATTGGTTAATGGTATAGTCTTGTCCGTGGATGGTTACATCGACAGACGTTGCTCGTGAATCGACGAAGCCTAGATTGGCCGAGGGAATGTCTTGCGCGAAGAGAAGGAAGCATTCTAACAAGGATGTGAAATTAACTAAATGCGCGCCGGGCTATTTGGTGTCTTTTTTGTCTTAGATTTGAGAACAGAGTCTACACGAGGTGCTACGGATTGAATCGAAACGCAGGGATGGGAATGTTGTGTGAAAAACATACCCTCTTCGGCATCTTCAACCTCTTCGCCAATAGATGTCAGGAAGCTGGTGAGTTCTTCCATTGTAGCTGTTGTGTTGGTGCTCAGAAGTAAGGTTAGGAGGATCTTGGGACCTCCGTTTAGATCGGAGGCTCGAGCTCTTAGGGTTAGGATAGCTCGAGTTAGTTAGAACTTTGGACCGGGAGCGTAACTGCTTCCGCGTCTATCGGGAAGGTAAAATGTCTCTCGAAACTACAGTAGCCTCATTAGTTAGCAGGTCTGGACTGTTTTTTTGTTTTTGTCTTGTGATGATACCCAGGATATTCCCTGTAGCGCCATGTATCGCGCCGATCGGAATAGAAGCGACAGCTGTAAGTACTAAGAGGGGACGAAGCATGTACCTAGTTAGGGTTGAGTCGGGATAGTAGCCGATTGATCTACCGTACTTTTTTCTTTCTTTCTTTTTTTTTTTTTTTGGAAGAGATTTAACGGAGTCGGGAGTCAAGAGGCATTGTTACTAGTAGGGTGGTCCATTGTCCGTAGTTTGTTTGCGCGATTGACAGCCGAGGAACTTTTGGAGCAGACGTTCATCGGTACCCTTGCTGATTGGCCAATGCTGACCCACTGGCTGGATACAATGAGCAGGGAAAAAGTGGTGCGTAATGAATGTCTTATGAACTCATTAGCTTTGGTTATGCGTGACAGTGTTACTACTCGACGGAGGCGAATTCTGCAATGGGAGTTTTTCTCTAGTAATAAGGCAGTGAACTCTACTTTGACTCAAGACGGAGATCCTCGAGTGTTGGGCGATTTTCCCAACAAAATACGGATTAAAGCTTCCCCCGAAGCTCCGGCAGTATACTTTGGACAGCATTGGCGGTTGATTTGACTCTGAATCGGCTTCAAAAAGGCAACAAATGCGACGGGTTCGGGACGAGAATCGCTTGTCATCTTGGACATTATCAGAAGCCTGGGTTCTTTTGGTCTGAACCGCGGTAAGGAGTAAAGAGGAGAGAGAGAAAGTTCCGAGCAACCTTGTCAATTAAAGATTTAGCCGTAGTTTTAGTCGGTTTTGATTACTATGGAGACCGTTTTTCTTGAGGTCTGTGTGGCATCAGGGGGGGTTGCTGTGTCTCGTGTTCCCGGCAGGTTTGCAAGCATATGAGATGTACAGAATCAAGATAAAGGGAGGGGGTCGGCTAGAACAATGGGATAAAGGATTGTAGATTCCCCCCTGTGTAGTTTCTTACTGTCCGGCAAGTGACGAAGAGATTGGATCGAAAGCTGAGACAGGAACGCAGTTCCGTTCACGTCATTGGAGTGCTCAGACCGCCTTGGACCAATGCCCAGCCGCAAAAGTCTCGCTCTGACTTCATCCGGTTCAAGCTTCATCTTGAGCTGCCTCGTTCTTTCTCCTCTCCTCTCTTCCCTCTCGTATTCCTTCCCCCGCATTTCTTTATCTTCCTTGCTCATCTGATCTCCTCTCCGACTCAATCCCTCACACTCCCTCTCACTCACTGCTTGACCATTTGGGAGTGAAGAGTCGCCAGTGTACTCCCGTACAGTCGTACCAACGACTTACTATTCTCCGTAAGTTGTTGTTTTGAGTTCTGCCACTCTGGAGCGATCCGTGGGTTCCTGCTATTCGCACGTTTTTGGTCCGACTGCAAACACCTCAGATCTTCTTCCTCGGTAATCGGCCGACTAATTTCTCCAAAAGCCAGTGACCTTTTCCTCCCAACTTTTCTCTCTTTGTATCTATACTCCCGTATTCTCGTAATTCGCCGCCAAGATGTCCCAACAAAACGCCCATCTTCAACCGCGCATTTCCAAGAAGCCCCCCTTTTCAGTGGAGGTTCCTGGCGTGCAGGCGGTGCCTGGAGAGACTATCCCCCGTCGACTGCCGGCGGCAAAGGATGGACTCATCGTGATACCTGTGGAGGGTGTCGAAACCACCTACGATGTCTTCCGCCGCTCTGCGCGCGTGTTCGGTAACGCCAAGGCTGTCGCAAGTCGCCGCTTGATCAAGACTCACGAGGAGAACAAGAAAGTCAAGAAGGTCATTGATGGCGTCGAAAAGGAGGTCGACAAGAAGTGGACATACTTCGAGATGAGCCCTTATAGCTACAAGAGCTTCGTCGAGTACGAGCAGATGGCTCTCCAACTTGGTGCCGGTCTGACGAAGCTTGGACTCCAGACGGGAGACAAGATCCATCTTTACGGTGCAACGAGGTGAGTGTGTAGTTTGACTCAGTCGAAATGTAGTTCATTGGTCAATCGACTAACACGGATTCTTAGTGAAAACTGGCTGGCCATGTCACACGGTTCGTTACAGTTGTCTTGCGCGCGTTGGTGTTCCACATACTAATTCGGAGCAGGAGCTGCATCTCAGTCGTTGACTATCGTTACCGCCTATGACACCCTCGGAGAGGATGGGTTAAAACACTCCCTCGTCCAAACATCCAGCGTTGCCATGTTCTGCGATCCTAATCTCATTCCCTCAGTCGCCAATGTACTCAAGGACGTTAAGTCGATCAAGCATATCATCTGGAACTCGCACCTGGCACCTAAGCAGGCGGACCTAGAGAGGCTGAAGACTGAGTACCCAGACATCAATGTCATCAGCTTCGAGGATCTCCGGACGTTGGGTGAACAGAATCCGGTGGACCCTGTCCCACCATCTCCTGAAGATCTCTGCTGTATCATGTACACCTCCGGATCTACCGGCCCACCGAAGGGTGTTCCTCTGACCCACGGAAACGTCATCGCTGCAAGTAAGCTAACCCAACTGTTCGCACCCCGGTATGCCAAAACTAATGTCGAATAGCCGCCGGTATCAATACAATTGTCGGACCATACATTGGGCCCTCCGATGCTCTGTTGACGTACCTCCCCCAATCGCATATCCTTGAGTTTATGTTCGAGAACCTCTGTCTAATCTGGGGTGGTACTATGGGTTATGGAAACCCACGGACGTTGTCGGACGCGTCGATGCGTAACTGCAAGGGTGACATTCGTGAATTTAAGCCTACGATCCTTGTCGGTGTGCCCGCCGTGTGGGAATCAGTGAAGAAGGGTGTGCTGAACAACTTGAACAAGAACAACTTCATTGTGAGAAGCATGTTCTGGGGTGCTATGGCCGCCAAGAACTTTTTGATGACGACTGGGTTCCCTGGCCACAGTGTGGGCTCCTCATTACTGGATGCTGTCGTCTTCAAGAAGTTAAAGGAGGCGACTGGTGGCCGGTTGCGCATCATGATGAACGGTGGTGGTCCAATCTCGAAGGATACCCAAAAGTTCCTGTCTATGGCCATTGCCCCAATGATCAGCGGATATGGTCTCACCGAAACCTCGGCCATGGGTGCTCTGAATGACCCGATGGCCTGGAACCCGGATGCCCTCGGTGAAATCCCTGCTTCCATTGAAGTGAAACTCGTTGACTTCGCTGATGCCGGGTATTTCACGAAGAGTAACCCCCCACAAGGAGAGATCTTCATCCGGGGAGGCAGTGTGAGCAAAGGCTACTGGGACAATGAGGAGGAAACCAAGGCTGCCTATACCGAGGACGGGTGGTTCATGACCGGTGATATCGGCGAATTTGATAAGAACGGCCATCTGAAGATCATTGACCGCAAGAAGAACCTCGTCAAGACGCAAAACGGCGAATACATCGCTCTCGAAAAGCTCGAATCTGTCTACCGCTCCTCTCCCCTCGTGGGCAACATTTGCGTCTATGCCGCTCAAGATCAGGATAAGCCTATTGCTATCATTGTCCCGGTTGAGGCCGCTCTGAAGAAGCTCGCCCACGAGAATGGCATTGAGGGTGACACTCTGGAGACGCTGGTTCACAACGAGAAGCTGAAGGGGATTGTTCTCAAGCAGCTCCAGACGGCTGGTCGTGCGGGCGGTCTCAAGGGCATTGAGATTGTCAACGGTGTGGTGTTGTCTGACGAAGAATGGACCCCCCACAATGTAAGTTATCGCTGCTTTCTCTTGAGTGCAATCATATGACTAACTTGTTCTAGGGATACATGACCGCCGCTCAGAAGCTCCAGCGCAAGAAGATTGTCGGTCACTTCCAAAAAGATATCGACCGTGCTTACGGCAAAAATTAAATGACGGAGTCACTGACGTTATGCTAAAGTCGGATAAGTCATCATATATATCTCTTAGTTTCTTCCGAAGCCTGGTTAATTTTGATATGTACTGCATTGCCAGTCCGGATTGAGAATTTTGTTTTTTCCTGTTGAAGCTGTGTATTTCCTTAATGTTTCTTTCTTGTTCAAATATCCCATAGGACGGCGATTGAAAATGTGTCTACGTTATCTTCGCATTATTAAAGAGCTTAATGAATTGGAGATGATTAAATGCATGCTTGTCCTAGCAACTAACATGGTGTCAGTGTATGTCCACTTTTACTAGTAGGAATTGACAGCAGTAGTATGAAATATCATTCGATTTTGCGCCAACTTGAAGCTATTCTACTAACTCGAATTGTAGTTAGTGCACCTATAAGGCAGGGTACTCATTCTCTGACCATAAGTATTAACCCGTGACCATATACGCGATTGCCCAATTAGCCCTAATCCACGGAGCAATGAAGGCCCTGACTGCATTCCTCAACCTTTGTCCTGGGCATGAAGCCGCGGTTCCTTAAACGACAATGATGGGTCTTATACTACAGTTTGATCACAGGGAGGAATGAACCACGAACATATTCTGTTTATAATTAGGCCCATATCAACAGCCAGCAAGCCTCTGCAACCCTGAAACGTATTAATAAAAATGTAGCTATAAGCCATAATTTGTGAAATCCGACAGCTGTGCTCCAAGATACGCTAGCCCGGAAGGTACGTTAAAGCGCCTCGAAATAAAAGGGGTCGGGTCTATGAGTACATTAGGATTTGAGCTCGTTGTAACCATTTCATTGAAAAAGCTATATCGATATCTTGTTCCTATCTCGTTTTACTCTTCCGTGGCTTTATAAGGCTAGAGGTGTGGCATCGCCCGTTGTAATAGATCGCGAATTATGTTGTACAGAATACTATTCGATCCCCAAGCACTGGGTAGGATCTGAATTGGAAACGAATATTATACCAGAGCGGCTATAGACAAGAGATGCCCTATAGGACTAGCCTAAGTGATTTTACTGGCATGCTTGAGGTGGAAACGATTGAGAAAAGTAGGATCAAGGGACAGGAATTTATACCTTGGGAAGTAGGCAATGTATAGTCAATAAAAAGCAAATATAAAGTCAGGTGTAACAATCACATATTCTTAGCATGGGCCACATTTCGCTGAGGGCATAGCTGAGAACTTCCATAAACAGCACGAAGGAACTAGGGGTTATTTACTTTCTGCAGGTATCATCTGCTGGTCCTTTGCTAGTTCATTTATCAGCAGCTACTAGCAAAGTGGGTCTTTTGGCGATCCTGCGTGTTACAGACGTATAGCGAGGCTCGATTTTGCATCTACTGAGT